AAGCTTGATTGTGATTGATTTTAAATAGCTACTATCCTGGCTAATCTCTCATGTCTTTCGTTTCTATCCGTTAATATATCCCTGTTGAGACTTTTTCCTGCGCACTATATGTACCAAAAAAATCCTGCTCTCAAGCTTCTATTAAAAGTCATCCCCAATTCATACAATGTGATGCACTGAATGATGTTTTCATTTCAGTGCGATTGTTTAATGGCATACCCTTTTGCCATGTGCACTAATTAGGCATGACAAAAATTTCGGCGCAACCAAGTGCAGCCCTTGTGAGCGTCATTAGTGTTTCAGTTCTTCTTCTTTCCCCTACTCACACACTGTGTGTGTGACTGTGACTCAGCAGCCCAATCGAACCCCTCCGGGAGAAAGATGGAAATGATTTTTAGTGCCTCCTACACACCTACTTTAATATACATCATGGCTAACCGGGAGAGCGCCAACTGACTCATGCTTGTGCGCAAGATGTTTTCTGACTTTGTGTGTGCATGTCATTACAATACAGATTGTTGATATATATTTTTTTTCTTTTTTTGACAGGGGGCGCTGGTGAGCGCCCTGGCTGACGACACAGTGCACCTGTGGAACCTGAGGCAAAAGAGACCGGCTATCCTGCACTCACTCAAGTTCAGCAGAGAGAGGTGACAGAAGGGTAGACAAGTGAAAATGACCCCCCCGCCCCACCCCCAAACTCCTGGTTAAGCTACTGAGATCATCTGATACGGTTAACGTCGTCTGTAGTATGCATACCAGGCTCCTTATTTTTCCGCTACACCTCAACTGTCTACCAGCACAGACAATACGACGATAATGTGCTGACCCGTCCTCGTGTCCCATTTCTACCCTCTAAATGTGTAAAACGCGGTATGATGAACTAACATTTTAAAAAAATATAAAACCATATATAATTGTAATCTTCGGATGGGCAAGACAAGAAAGGACCTCAAGGAAGTCCGACAAACTGTCTCCTACAATCACCGACGTCGTGGTCACCCATCGGAACCAATCGGATCACGCGCTAGTATCCCTTCTTCTGAAAAGTCGCGGGACGGGTGATGTGTCAGAAGCGGTGATCTGACGCAGCGCTGACATGATGGACAGGTGGCCGCCGGCGACTTTTACGGGGCGGCTTGCGTCCGTACGGAGGCGCTTGACTGCCTCTGACATTTAGTAAACGTCGTTGCCGAGAGATGTCTTGCTTCGGGGGGAGGAGTCTGTAAACTTGAGACATTCCCATTTTGAATACGACAATTGTTAGCATTAAATCACGCCTCACAACAACAACGTACTATAAAGCGAAAACCGCTTTACGGATGTCAACTATTTGTCATCTCCATTTAAGTTAGTTTTTTTTTTTTTTAACTGAGGTATCTATTAGCTTTAGCGTCGAGTGTGAACACAGCCACTCTTTACTGCGGGTTAGTCCCCAGTTCCACGCTTGACCACACTGTGACATTGCATCCATACTTGCATATACCGCAGACAGAAGCTTCCCTTTGTCCGCCGAGCGATCCAAATTCGAGTCGGGACGGGCGAGCGCAGCGTTGCGGAAAGCCCTCCAGCGCGGGCATCCATTCATTTGGGATGACCGAAACGAGGCGAGAAGGGAAGGGAGGCGGAGCTGAGACAGACTGGGCCTCCGCCAGACAGCGGTGAGTCAGTCTGTGGGTTGCGCTGTCGGGGATGCGAGCGAGAGGAAAGGAAGAAATCCTGCCGAGTCACTGTGGCGTAGGATGCTCCAGTCAGCCCGTGGCCTGGCAGAAAGCCACTGCAGATGTCGACGTCGCCATGGACGCAGGCTGATATGATGGGAGATAATAAGGGACGGACATTAGGGTCAGCGCACACGGATAAAGCCGGCTTTTTCTCATTTGGGAGGACTTTTTTTCCACAAAACCTCTTTCGCAGTGGAAGATGGTATTGCAGGCGTCCACTCAGAATCCCAAAACTTGCATGATAGCTTCATGAAGACTTGGCCATAGCTGTGAATGTGCATTGAATGTGTTTGTCGAGTGTCTATAATAAGTCTACACACCCCTGTTGAAATGCCAGGTTTTGTGAGGTTAATAAAAAAATAAATGAGACCACGATTAATTCATTTCAAAACATTTCCACCTTTTAAAGTGCCTCTGATGAGCCCCAAATTCATTTCAAATGTACTAGTCAGATGCTACTCAAAAATAGTCCATTCGACTCAGTTGTTGCGGCAATATTTTCAGTTTCGCTGGAATAAACTAAAACAATCCGTGTCGTATACTCTTGCACTGAAGCGACTTTCAAAGTTTCCCCTTTAAACAACGTTCCCAAGCTCTGCTTAGTTCGATAGAATATTTGATTTACTTGTACAGTGCGTCATTTTCACACTTGCTCTCATTCTTGGGAGGTTTTGCATGGGGTGTACACAATCTGTCATCTCATTAGATTCTTCTGAACTGAAACCCTGCGAGGGGATTTGGGCTCAGCAGCATCTCCGGATTAAGGCGCTCCTCTGGGCTAGGGATTTGCCACATGAACTTCTGTGCTACTACTTTACCCTTACGGTTACTGATATCCAGACTGGCACTGTGCCTGAAAATACGCAGGAAGTCTACCATGCCACAATCACTTTTCTTTTTTTTTTTTTTTTTTGTGGGTCTCCTCATAAGACATGCTTACGAAATTTCATGTTGCTAAGTGAAACTGCCTGACCTTGAGAAACTGATTTTCAAGTGGACACAATAATTACAAAAGGCCTTCGCACTGGGCCTGATTACAAAACACAATTGCCTCGTTGGCCTTTCAGTCCGTTCTAACTCACGGCAATTAAGGTCAAGCTTCCAAACTGCTGACACACTCGCTAACTTGGCATGCGCCGCACCGGCCCTCGGTGGGTCATCCATCAAACAAACCTGAGCCGTTGGAAATGATGACAATTAACGCGCCATGAGCCAACCCCCCCCCCCCCCCCCCCTCTCTCTTTGTCACGTGACGTGGTGGCACAGTTGTGTTTGCGGCAGGCGCTTGCCATCTCCCAGCGAGCCTGCAAGCTGCCAACTGGCCGTTTTGTGTGTCTGTGCTTGTGTGTGCGTGTCTTGCCCACTCCAAACAATGGATGGATTGACAGCACTGGCGTGAAAACAGGAAACCAGAGCATTCATAGATGCTCCCATCCCCATAAATCAAGAAAGAAAATGCTAATGTTCTCCGTTAGAAGGAAGGAACGACAGTCAAGTCATCTGATTTGTGATATTTTTCCGATCCACGTACAATGAGCATTAATTATTCAACCATTTTTAAACTTTAACACTACCATAGGTAAGGTAAATACTGCCTTTTTCAAAGAATTTACAAATAAACGTTCCCGTGGGCTGGTTTTGTCTTTACAATATAAAAAAGCATCAACCCTGAAATATTATGGGATCCAGATGAGCAAGGTCGCACATTATTATTCCTGGGACGGTCTGGAGGTGTAACGGGAAGATGGATGAAAGAGCAAAATGATGAAAAAGGATGAGAAGATGAACGGATCACCACAGTTGATGAGGACAGAAGGGTTCGTAGCCTCTCATTACGCTCCCAGTCTGGGAGGAGACTCGAAACCGATGGCTGGCTCAAGAATCTTTGCGGTGTTACGGTGCGATTTGTCAGCATTGTCCGTCTTTTTGTCCCGTAACACTTTTTGTGTGTTTTTCCTTTGGCAGGATCACCTTCTGCCACCTGCCTTTCCAGAGTAAGTGGCTGTACATCGGCACCGAACGGGGAAACATCCACATCGTCAACGTGGAATCGTTCATGCTCTCAGGCTACGTCATCATGTGGAACAAAGCCATTGAACTGTGAGTGTTAGCTACGTCCGCTAGCCTGTCTGGCCAGTTGTAGTCAAACGGAATCCATACACATCTGACCAGTAAACATCGGTCTTACCATTCACATACAAGCCTCTATTTGCACCATTTACAAATACACTCTGTAAAATAACTGTCTGGCATTCACATACACAGATAATGTCATCTGTCCATTCACATCAAAGATAGGCTAACAAATAGCATCCATGTGGCGGTGTCGGCATGCTTCAGGCAATGGATATTTGGCATTTAGTGCAGTAACACATGAATACACAAAATATAGAAATATTCCCAGGTATATATTCTTTATCCTCTGTGAAAAGCAACTAACTTGACTCCAGGTTACGGAATAACTTTACTGCCGCGCCAGTGCCCAAGTTGTACACACCAGAAGGAGCCATCAATTAATCATGTTGCACAAACTGTATCATTCTTAATATTGCATTTCATAAGGCTGTGACCGTGTTTTTATGAAGTAGGCGTCCAATATTATCGAGTTCAATTTTTGTTTATTTAAAAAAAAAAAAAAACACATTGCAAACTTTTTGGGGGAGTGCAGGTGTTTTGGCAGTGCAAAAACAACGGCACAATATTTGGAGTAAGTACGGATCAATACGTGAACTCAATAGGAGACAGTCATATTGCCACCGTGGCAACACGTGGCCTATCGACTCATCTAAGTGCTACCAGGGATGCTGCGTATTCACTATTTTACATTTTCGAGATGTTATTGTTGAAATGGAATTTTAGATCAGCAAAAAAAAAAATATATATATATATATATATATATATATATATATAAAAAGACTCTCACTGGTAGGTAGCCAAATGTTTCCTATAGCGCCTTCAATGAATCTGTCAGCTTGACAGGCTCCATTTTATTTCCCTGCTGTAGAGGCTTAAATTATTCAACGGAGCGTTTTGCTTCACAGATTCCCCCCTCCTGTGCGCGCGTGTCTGCGTGTGCGAGAGCGAGTGCGTGTGCACCGCGAGGGACTAGCAGAAGAGGTTTGGAACAGGTGTCCGCCAAGATCACTGTACGCTATACGCAGACGTCTGAGCTGCGGGGGAGACGAGACGAGGCGTGAGTTGAGCAGGGAAGCACAGGGGGGGGTGGGTATGTTGGTGGGCGGTGGGGTTGTGGTTTTAGGAGCGGTAGGACATGCACGCAGGAGAGGGCGGATAGAGGAAGGTGAGGGCTTGCGGTGATAAGAGCTTTTGCCGTTACGGGGGGAGTGGTCGAAGATAGATACGAATAATGAGATAGAAAGGGGCGATAAGGGCTGCTGGACATGCAGTAACTTTGACTTCTCTCTGACAAATTGCTTTTTAACGGCAGGAATGGTGTTCAATATGCATGCGTCATTACGATTACATTAGAATGTACTCAGGGCTATAGCCGGGCCGACGCTTGTTGGAAGTCCGCTGACAAAAGAAGATGAGTTTAAAAGTTGCATGACTCACCCAAAAAATTCCAGACACGGTACGAACCTCGGATGGTGGCAGTGAACTCCTGGTGAGAAAATCTTGTCAAACTGCATGTGAAAAAAAGGAATATTTAAAACAAACACATACCTTTGCCTTTAAGTCTGCTAGCTCAATGCTAACACATCATGGAGAACATCATAGACAGGCTAATGAATAGCATCTTTGTGGCGGTGTAACAACACTTTAAGTAATGGTTATTTTAACAAAGCAACACAGAGTGACAGTACTCACAGGCATATATTCTTTATCTTCTACAAAGAATTACAAATATTACTGTTGCGTATTGGGTCACTTTAAATAGCTGCGTGAAACTCCTCTTTATCTGTCTGACTGTTTTATTAGTTAGAGCAGCACAAAGACATCCAGAAGGGCTCAGGGTAGCATTGTTCAGCTTTGGCTTGAGGCAATGAGACTCTTGACTCTTGTGTACGCTCACATTGCTGCGGTCTTAAAGTGTTTGCCTGTGTGTGTTTGTGGACTTGATTCAAGATGATGGTCAGCGGGCACAGAAGTGGGCCAGGAGTGGCAAAAACATTCAGAGCGTAGCATGACACACATTGCACATGAGCGCCTTGGCTTGGGGCTCCAGCTCCTCTTTCCTTTTTCATTTTCGACCGCGCTCACACTCACCAACCTGAAGCGTGTGCAGATTAACGACACTGCTCTTGCTATAATGTTCTTTTCAATCACACGGACAGGTGATGTAATATTGCAGTGCCGGGCATTTTGTACACAAATTACACACATCGGTCCGTTCATTCATATGCTCATTTGTATGCCCATTCACATCAATAGTTTTTGCCCACAAATTAGCAATTTGTGGGCATCTACATTGTCGCTAGCATTCAATGGATTTTTTTTCCCTCCTTGTCATTTCTAGGGCTCTGTTGACTCCAGATATGGCAGTTGTATGTTAAAAAAAGCACGTCTCCCATTTTAGGAAAAGCCACACAGTGACGTGGTGAACATCTGCGGTAGCTGCCGGGCTGATGACATCAAAAGCCCCCAACGACAACAGCTTGTTTGCGACATGGTTGTTTCATGTGCAGTTTGTGGCCTCATGTCACCTCGTGTTTGATTTAATATTACATAAAGCTCATTTCTGGAGCTAATTTATTCGGCATTGTTAAAGATTGACAAATGCAGTGTTTGGCTACTACGTTGGTCAAGCATTTCTTGCATTTTCGCAGAGCACAATTCAAAGTGCTTCACAGCTACATACGGTACAAGGGGGCACTCAATCCAGAATCCATGAAAAATAATTATTTATTGAAACAAATCACTGTACCAAAAGGGATTTCATCTGTGAAACCCCGTGACGTTAAAACTAAGAACATCGAAAACCTTAGAACAAGAGAAAATAAACCACACGGCACAGGCCAACGAGTTGCATTTGTAATTCACCGAGAGGCTAATTGATTGTTATGGGTGTGTGTTTCACAAAGTGGGTGTTAAGAAGTGCGTTAATTGCTGGGCTGCGTGTGTCTGCGTGTGTATGCAGCATGTGTGTGAAGGCGGCGAATTGAGACAAGATGAAGCAAAAAAAAAAAGAAAAAGAAAGAAAGCTGCAGCTTCAGTAATAATAAGCCTCCAATCATCCGGCACCATCAGCCTAAATATAGCTGCCGCTGAATGATGCTTGCTTCTCATACACAACTGTACACGCTTTGCACCTTGTGGTCCTTCATTTCAAAGATTCCAGTGCTCTTATTATGAATGCTGATGCTTGTGTCGTGACGTGAAAGTCTAAAAAGTGACAAAAACTGGTGCTATAACTGTCACTTGATGGTATAAAAGAGCAGAAGTCACCCGATTCTTACTATATCAAATTTTGAGTGCCATCTCTCACATCATCTGCCGCAATTACGACACAGCAGCTAGCTAGCTAGCTAGCCTACACCCCGAAAAAACATCGCGCCTTTGGATTGACCACTGGCGTGTCCACTTGAGGGCGCCTCATTGTCAGCTGTGAGTATGACTATGTCATGGTGAGAAAGGTAGAAGAGCCTGGAATGGCAATTGTGGAATAAAATCTGACTTGTCATCCAGCTTGTGAACTGGAGTTTTGATTTTGGTTGCCCCATTAGAGCGCCTCGTTGTGACAACCCAGTAGGATATATTTCAGCCGTGGAGGATTAAAGTGGATTTAAAGGGGGTTTATTTTTTATGGTTCAAATATGGAATTATGTGAACCCGCATCCATTTTTCAGATTGTAGTCGGGTATTTCACTGACGGTTGAGTGGGGCATTCAACAGACACGCCGAACGCGAGATTTAATTGTGGCGTATAAAAACTACGATCACACAAGAATACTCCCTCTTCAATGTTTTCTCAGCATCCGTTTTTCAAAACAAAGTTCATCCACTGACCTCATGAGTGTCAGATTCATACGGCCGTAAATGACAATACAGTCTCTTTATCCTCTTGTACACAGTGTCCCGACTGTTCATTTTCAAGGGTATCCTTGCCCAGGCCGTGCGGCATTTGGCCAACGTGTTAGACTTTTAGTAGTCACTGACCTTCTCTCGTGACCCTCATCCGTCATTGTGGCATCCGAAGGGGGCGCAGGTTTAGTTGGCTTGTACAAAAAAAAAGTCTGTCTGGGCTGCAGGGTGAAGTACAAACAGAGGAGTCTTTTTTTTTTTCTTTTTCTGATGTTCCAATGGTAACATCTTCACAGAAACATCCATCACAAGTTTGAACAGTCAGAGAGGCTGATTGACAGCTCGGGCTTCACCAGCACATTTCCTCCGTGGATTTTCAGACGCACCCTCGCCTGCGTTGACCTCAGCCGCTCCAGTGTGAAGAGACCCGAGTCAATTACCAGATGGAGACATTTGTCGCTCACTACTTCTTTCTCTCTTGTGTCTCCCCGAAGGTCGTCCAAGGCTCACCCTGGACCAGTCGTCCACATCAGTGACAACCCCATGGATGAGGGAAAGGTAAAGGACACTATTAAATCCCACTTAGCACCCCAGAGATTGAAATGGTAGCGATAATATATTTCAAATAGTTTTTTTTTCCCTTGAGAAAGAATGGAAAGGCAAAATTTTGCATTCATTTAATCAAAGCAGTCAAGATTTGAGCTTCCGTATTTTCTTCCCATCCACTGAAAGGTTGACTGCAGTTAAATGTTTGACATCATTCTCGAGGATAAAGTTGAGGCTTTTAAACGTTTAATCGCAGATGCTGGTCTTGTGTTGGATGATTCACCGATTTCATCAGCACGACTTGGAAGCGCATCAATTAAATGAAAACGTATTCCATTATTCCACTCGAGAGCTTTGAATCAGCCGAGACTGCAGTTTAGACAAAACACTAATTGTGGCTGAGTCTTGAGAGTCATTTTTCTTCTGCGTCGCTTAGCTAGGTTCAGCTGACTAGCGATAGACATCATAATTGAGTGCGAAGGACTTGGTCAATTGTGCGGAATTGATTGGTGATGTCACGACGCCATCCCGACTATTAGGGCTTAACGGTTTAGAAAAATAAAAACGGAGAAAATCGATGTCCTTGGAAATTTGAGTTGAGTTTTGTTGGACATTTTTGGTTCATCTTTTGTGAATGCTAAAATTAATGAATAGCAAATAATTAAATTATTTCTGAGAAGAGACGGCATATCCCGCTCGGCAACTCGTTTTCTTCATATAAAGATGTTGTTGTTATTGTCCCTTGTGTAGGCGACATTCTTTCCCAAGCCTATATTACGTGGCACATGAATGTCAAATGCATCACACCCCCCACCCCCCGACACACACACACACTTTCCCCCCTTTAATATCTTCACCCTCTCCGTCTGTCATCTCCACCCGTCTCCTGGACTGCTGTTTCCTCTCTCAGCTGATAATTGGATTTGAGTCCGGGATCGTGGTCCTGTGGGATCTCAAATCAAAGAAGGCCGACTATCGCTACACTTATGATGAGGTAGGCAAACCTTGATTTCTCACCTTCCTTCCGGTATCTTTTAATGCTGGCTGGAATTGAAATTACCTATTCATGAACAAATAAGACGTGCGATGGTTTACCCCGACAGCAGCTCGCTTTCGGAAAATAAATAAGCGCCTCAATATCTGTAAAAGTGATGATTGTACCAAAGAAAAAAAAGAAGCCCCTTGTTTCATCTCGGAAGGGTAGAAATTCTATTTAATAATGGATTTTCAAAATGAAGTTAAAGCAATTTTGGAACATTAATCTGCGAGCAACTCCATTTTCATTTCTGTTAAAAAAAGAAAAAACAATCAATTAATACGGAATATTTTAAGGTCTACCAAGTAGTTTATAGATTAGTTTTATTTACCTAAAGATTACAATAATGAAAAATAATATCAGATGTAGTTTCTTGAGATAATTAGTCCCGTAAACAACGCTTGCAACGCTAAACATTCTCATCTCAAATCGATTTTCCCCAGTGAAGTGAACGGAAATTGTCATTAATCTGTTCCAGTTTCCTTTGTTTTTTTTAAAAAAATGTATTTATTTTTTTCTTGTTACTTTTTTTAATCAAGGAAAAAAGCACTTCGCTATTGCACTTATATACGGTAAGAACAAAATTAAATGGAACATTGAGAATCAAACACTGCGTGTGATGATTAATTCATTGTGACTCCCTATGCTAAGTGCAACATGGCCGCCAGATACAAACAAAGAAGACTTTGACAACTGCTTTTAGTGAATCAGTCAACTGCAGTAATATTGATCTTTTTTTTCATGGAGGTGAAAGAAGCAAGCTAACAGGAGGCAACGTTGTGTGGTAGTTTAAAATGCACATCGTGTCCTTCTCTTTGTTTGATGTTTAGTTTGACAGTAAAGTTCAACCGAAAATGGCATTTAACAGATTGAAGGCTGTTTTGGGAAATTTTGTTGGCCATCTACCAACCAGCAGCTTGTGAAGCAAGCTGAGTTAAAGTTTCCTGGTGATGCTTGATGAGAAGGAGAACATACTGTCTGCTATGTTAGCTTGTAGCCCCTAGCTAGCAGGTACTTTTTCCACCCTTCGGGGAAAAAAGTATGCATATTTCAGTGATGTACCTGCGACTAATTGAGACATTTATTTATTGCCGGTAGTTTATATCAGGGCACACTGGTGTAGTTTTCTCCAGAGTGAGGTTCGCAGCTTGCATATCGATGTCATAACATGGTTTTGGAGGCCGAAACTTTCCAGTGCACTCAGCCTCTCCCGTCGTCGTGTTTCCCGGCGGGCGGCGCAGGAGAGGCTCTATAAATAAAAGAAAACACAATAAAACAGAGCCAGTGTCATGATGCCCCGTGGACTTGTGTCAGACCTTATTGGCTTGCTTGCAAAATTGTATTCCTACTCAGGCATTTGCAATATTTGTCGGTTATGTTGCTTCAGCCAAGTGCAAGCAAGGAAAGGGGAGGTTGCGTTTTCATTTTATTTATTTGGTTGGGTGGTTTGTGTGCAGGATTACCCCCAAAAATATTTTTCGGGCGGGAAAAGGAAATATGTGGTTTGGGCCAAAGAGCACACTATTGTACTTTTAAAGTGTGACAGCTTTGAAAGGTTGATAAAATATCCATCAAGTGATTCCAAGAGGCTCCTCAGAGGAGCTGTAACAAAGAATCCCAGAAAACATGAACCCGCACATGTTCATATGTCATATTAACAATGTGTTTAATTGTTGCACGGTATTTTTTCATCAATGTAGTCGCTCGCTCAGAGGACTTTCTATGACGTGAAATGGCCCCTGATAGGAAACAGGTTCCGCACTTTCTGCCGTTGAGGAATCGAAATTATTGAATGAGAGACATCTCGATTTCGACGAAGAGGGAGTGATCATCATCATCATCATCATCATCATGGCAGGGAGAATCATACTCTGCTAATAGTGGAAACAGCAGCAGACATCTCAGATGAGCCATCAGCTATGAATAGTTTTAAGTGTGTCTGGATCATCAGAATCGTGTATTCAGGGGAAAAGAGAATCCCTTCAAACCAAGTCTTCAAAGCAAACACTGGTCGAGTGGAAAGCTTCTATTGTATGTTGTTGGTAATTACGCGCAGCTTTAGCCGCCCTCGTTAATTTGGTCCGCAGCCTCGTCCACAACGGTAACAGAGGAAAGGTCATTGAGCAATCAAAGCCGCGATGCAATGCCGCAGCGATGCGCCGCCGCGATACGCCGCCATTGTCCTCGGCGTCCTTGCGTGGGCAACAAATGGAAGTTTTCAAACAGCGCATTGCATTGAGGTGCGGCGGCGTGGGGAATAACCTCCGGACATTACACGAGAGCAGCGAGAGCGATGAGTTCGGAGGCGAGGAAAACTGCAAAAGGACTTGATTTGGTTTGGGATTTGTTTTTTTTTTTTTGTTGTTTTTTTTTCTGCCCCGGAGTCCTTTCCCACTTCGGTCTGTGGAGAGATGTCACGACAGGGGTTTAGAGAGCAGAGATAAGCTCTTTTGGGGTGGTTTCAATAAGACCACGGGAGCAGTGTGAAGATATGAGCTTATCTGAGAAGGGAGGGTGATGGCAACTGGAAATGAGGTAAATCTACTCCTTTTTTTTTTCCAATATGGTGCACAGCCAAAGAGCGGGAATGACCAGCAGATTTAGCATAATCTCATTGTCTTCAACACGTTGCTACATCCATTTTCACTGTGATTTGTTTTTTTTTTTTTTTTGCGGGGGTCAGTAACATACTCTGGGGCTAATCCGTGATCAACGTTTGGAATACGGACCGCCCGATCCACCAGTGAGAAATTATTCTCTGTCTCTTACAGTCTCTCTGAATCTTTGTTGCAACCTGCTGATCACACTGTATGACACTCTTAAGCCAGGGGGTACTCAAGACCGGTCCTTGAGAGCCCCTATCCCAGCCCCGTTTTTTGAATAAAATGGTAACAATACAAAGACAAAATGTTTGATTTTTATGAGGGGTAAATTTGTTTTACAATGAGAAAAATGTGCGTTGACGACGATAAAATGATTCATGACAAGCGAAGTGTTTCTACAAGGAATAAGTCTCGTTCCGTAATTTTATTTTTTTTAATGACACTGGCATCATAGTTTATGCTAAGAATATTTTGTTTGAGGATACTTTTGCTACATCAGGTCATGAAAAAAAAAATAAAGAGGGAAAAAAGTGACTTTTACTCTAATCAAATACAGTACAATAATAATAATGGGACACGTTAGGATTGTGTTTACAATGATCGCTTGCAAAGAGGCAATGCATTTGGGATATTTCTAAAAAGCGTTTTTCCTCTCTTTTTTTTTTTTTTTTGTGCGAACACAACATTGTTGTGTGATTCCCGTTGACTTCTGCGCTGATCTGATCCCAAAACACGTGTTCCAACAGCAGTTCATTCATGCATTCATTCCGGACTCTTAAATGTCACCATCATAAAACCTTGATGAACTGCACAGACAATTGATGAACTGCACAGACAATGTTGCAATTAACATTTTTAACGAACAGCCATACAAATCCAAATAGAAGCTAATCACTCTGTAATGAAACCGGAATCCAGTCAAAGGGCTCACCAATTTTTTTTTTTTTTTTTTTTTCCACGAAGCATTCCATACAATCATTTCCTTTTTCTTATCCTGTGTCATCGTGCGGAACTACTGACAGCCTCGGTTTCCACCTGTTGTTTCGTAGGCAATCCACTCAGTTGCCTGGCATCACGAGGGCAAGCAGTTCGTGTGCAGTCACTCAGACGGGACGCTGACCATATGGAACGTGAGAGGCCAGGGCAAGCCCATACAGACAATCACCCCCCACGGTAAGCACTCGCATGCTCATCCCATCATCAAACTTCTTCTGACTCGTCTTCAGTGTCTTCTTCTGATTCTTCTTTCTAAACTTCTTCTTCTTCTGAATCTTCTTACTTTTTTATCGTGCCGCATTCTACCTCGCGCCTGCTTTTTAGCCCCCAGAGCACTTTTGACACGTTCAAGGGCCTACAAGAAGCTGACGCTCGGTGTGTTGTGGAAAGGATTTTAGCCCTGTGTTGTTTTTTTTTTTATAATTTCTCGTCTGACGCTGGTTGTATAATTACTTTGGTATTTAATGCGCAATTATGCAAATTCCTTTGATGGGTTTAAGCCAGGCTTAGACATTCTTTAATTTTGACTCACTGTAGAAGTAGTTTGGAAACACGAGGTTTTATTGACTATTGTTATTATTATTACGACCTTTTAATCACTTCGGTAATTAACATTTCTTCACTCGTGTTTTTTTTTTTCATTCAATTAGTATGTGGCGTGATTTGGATAAACAAGAGCATCGGATGGCATAAACTGAAGTTTTTTTTTTTTTTTTTTTTGCTGTTCTGTTTCAGGCAAACAGCCAAAGGATGGGAAGAAGCCAGAGCCTTGTAAACCCATTCTCAAAGTGGAATACAAAACTACCAGGATTGGGTAAGCGGCGGCGTTTGGTTTGAATTCATTATCCGTTTTTATCTGAATTTTTTTTTTTTTTTTTTTGTCGAGTGGTTTCGCAGAAAATTCTGCAATTTTATGAGACCAAATTCATATTTGACGAATAGTGGGTACACTTTTCCTTGGAAGAAAAAATATTGTATATAATTATTACACTGTATCTTTTTTCCCAAAATTGACAACATTTACAGTCTCAATAATTTATAACTACTTGACTTTATAAACGTCAGGAACAGAGGCTGACTTTGCAGAAGCCGTAAGAAATGGAAAAAAAAAAGAACGTAACACGCCGAGAACTCTGTTTCAGCAAATTCACGTGAGAGATTGTCTTTTATGCTGCTGTTTTGGTTAGCAAACAGGGTTCACTTGGGCTCACCTCTTAACTGTTTCATATTGGTCTATAAATTGAGATATGTTTATTTTTCTTGGTTTGCGTTTCCCCAGGGAGCCCTTCATCATCCTGTCCGGCGGTCTGTCCTACGACACGGCGGGCCGGCGGCCGTGCCTGACGGTCATGCACGGCAAGAGCACGGCCGTCCTGGAGATGGACTACCCTATCGTAGACTTCCTCACCCTGTGCGAGACGCCGTACCCCAATGGTGAGTCGGCGCGTTGCTCCTGCCGCTTCGATGCCGCTTTCCACGTCTGTTCTTTAATTACGCTGGCGCCGCTGTAATAAATCTGAAATTTCCCAAGGGGACGTATGGAAATTGCATCCTCACGTCGTCTTCGTTTGCGCACAATATCCCCGGCGTCTGAATGGAATTAGCATATTTTCCACATGTTGAGGAGCTGAAACAAGTGGATGTGAATGCAGCGTAATCTGCCGCGGAAGAGCCTTCATTTGGCACACACACACACAGCTGCGGGACGGATTAACCGGCGCATTATGTAACAGCGGCGACTTCATTATGTCACTGGCAGCCAGCTGATCTCATCTGGTAATAGACATCACTGAGGATTATTCCATTGTATGCATCTGTGTGTCTGACTGCCGCCTTGACTGATGTGCTCAAGTGTGGAGAAGACAAAAATGTACCAGAAGAGACAATCAACCGAAGATTATGCTTTTTTTTTTCCACCCTTTTGCACAAATGTTTCGAGTGAGACCTCGGCTATAACTCATAAGCTTGCGTATGATATCACTGTGGGGAACCAAATAGGTCTGTTCACACAATTTGTGAAACAAAGCGTCCTGCTAAGTTGTTTTTTCCTCACTCCCATTTGAATTTGATTGTTAAATCGACACATAAAACAAGACAAGTTCATTAGCTTGATGCTAATGTATAATGTGAAACACCATTGACCGGCTAAAGGAAATTAGCCTTAATGTTATTCGAAATCTTCAAACATTCTGTGATCACTTGTAACCAAAAACAGACTTAGAACACCAAGGTGCTGATTTCTTTCGTTAACCCATCGATGGTATTTTCCATTGTTAGTTAGCATTAAGCTAAACGGGTTTGTGAACTGAAGCTAACTTCAAACATTCTGTGATCACTTGTAACCAAAAACAGTTGAACACCAAGGTGCTAATGTCATTTCTTAACCCATCAATGGTATTTTCCATTGTTAGTTAGCATTAAGCTGAACGGGTTTGTGAACTGAAGCTAAAAATGTGGCTGGAATTCTCTTTGTCGTATGTTTAATTTGACATTGAACTTAAGCAGTAGCGATGAAGACCTGAAAGCCACTTTTATTATTTGTTTTTTTCAAGAATTGTGTCATTTTGGATCTTACAGACTTTCAGGAACCATACGCTGTGGTGGTCCTTCTGGAGAAGGACTTAGTGGTGATCGACCTTGCACAAAACGGGTGAGTGCTTCCCCCAACGGAACATACACAACAGAGGCATTCCGACTGAAGGGACGTGCTGTCGCTTCTCTCGAACAGTTACCCCATTTTCGAGAACCCCTACCCGCTGACCATCCACGAGTCCCCGGTGACTTGCTGCGAATACTTCGCCGATTGCCCCGTGGACCTCATACCAGCACTTTACTCGGTTGGCTCGCGACAGAAGCGTCAGGGCTACAGCAAAAAGGTACTGTGAGCATTCTGAACTGTGAAAAAAACACCAAGTCCACTCAATTTTTATGAATGATTAAACATGCCGTTGGTCGAGATTCCAGCCAAAACAGCAGAAAGCTGTTTAAGGTTTTTATTTTTTTTTTCGCGCGTATTTTGGAGGAGACACTGTTTTTTTTTAAATTCAGTTAGTTTTAAGTAGTTTTAGAGCAAATTTGTTCATTTCGATTTGTTTTGATTGTTGAAATGCTTCATTTTAGTCTATTTTTTTCTAGTTTTAGTATTATGTTTTTGGGGGGGGTGTGAGCATTCTGAACTGTGAAAAAAACACCAAGTCTACTCAATTTTTATGACTGATTAAACATGGCGTTGGTCGAGATTCCAGCCAAAACAGCAAAAAGCGATTTGTCAAGTGCAAAATAATAAAGGTCACCAAGTAATGTGTAATACAGTAAACTAAACTAAACTTTTTGACCTTCCGTCTACTGTATGTTTGTAAAGCAATATAAAATGTAAAAAAAAAACAAACATTTAAAATCAAGCCCATAAATGCTATTAACTGACAAAGATGAAAACAAAGGACATTTTCAGGATAATTATAGTTAGTTTTAGTTTCATAAACACAAGGTATCATTTTGTTTTATAAGCATGTTTGTTTATACGTAATTTCATTCATGAAAAAGTTATTTCAGTCTTATTTTATTTTTATTTTTTTTCGTTTTTTTACCTCTGATAACATTGGCCACCGCTAGTACTATTTTTTTTTCGGAGCCAAAACCTAAAATATTTTCATCATTTGAAAGCAGATCCATTATTTTATTCTTTTACTACTTTTTGTACCAACTAATAGTGACAAAAACAACAAACTGCAAAAGACAACACGATCCGGCTATTCTGATGATATTTTATCACTCTTGTCTTTCCCTCAATAGAATGACTCAGATGCAAACGAGACAACTTTTATTGTGGAAGGCAGATAAATACGCCGTTCGGTGCCAGTCAGAATAAAATGCTGAAGGCGCACCTCTTTGTCCATTAATGAGGCGGAACAGAACAATAGCATCGCGGTTGTATTTTTTTATTTGACTTGCACTGGCTGACGGTGTTATAAAGGTGACAAACAAAATGAGACAGTGCAAATCATACCTCCAGTGACATCAACGGCTTGATTAGTTGCTTCTGGTGCGAAGACCAGTGTCAGCATGCTGTTAGCATTTCATCACTTCAGCACAAGGGCATGATGTATCAGTACATAATACCCAATGACTTCATTATACTGGCTCATAATTCCTACCCTTAAACAACTTCCAGTGTCGAAGGTTAGTAGGAATCAGGCGGCTAGTTTTCTCAAATGAATTTGGCCACTAATATTTTAGCTCATCCCCGGCTCTTAAAATATCTTATTGACCTGCCGCGGCACATTTTGTATGCTTGTATTGTCACCTTGCTATGTTAGCCTTTTATCCATTCTCACTCAAAGGATATCAAAATGAAAGGAAGGAGGGGGGGGGGTGTGATTCACACCTAAAGAACACCGTGAGTCATCCCGGTGGCCTTTTTGTACGTGTCGACGTGTTGACAGCCAGTGTGGAGGCGCGCGCCACACAACATTGATTCAATGCTTCTATTGATATGTCATTGACGCTAATAGGAAGTGTGTGTTTGTTGGGTTCAAGGAGTGGCCTATCAGTGGAGGCAACTGGGGTCAAGGCACACAGAGCTACCCGGAGATCATCATCACTGGGTAAGATAACCGCGCCGCTCGTCACACTCGCACACGCACATACTGTATTCTTGTCCAGTTCGGTCTTGCAAGAGTGTGCCAGCGCTTGCGGAACGAATGTTCAGCTCCCCCAATGCACTGGGATAAATTGGCGAGGAAACAAGAACCACTGAGTGAAAAAGAAAGAAAGCAGTACAAGGAATACAATTGTCATGTCTATATATGAGCAACTTGTTCAGCACACAGAGCGCTTGTAAATAATGCATTTATTCCATGTCAGTCTTTCCCGCCAGACCGATGCGATAATATAATATACAGAATACATATATATTACGAATTAGTCAACAAAAAAAAAGGCCACTCCTTTTTTTATTTACTGTCCTCCTCTCTTTAAATTCTCACTCTTGTAGGCATGCTGATGGAACGGTGAAGTTTTGGGATGCCTCTGCAAGTGAGCTCTGTTTTTTTCTTCATTAGAAATGGAATAGTCAAGAACACATTTGAATGAGAAGAAACATTTTTGAAGGTTAAAATACGTAGATAAAATGTACTTACGTATAAAAGTAAAAATGAATGATTGATGTCCGTTATTGACAATCGTAAATACCTATGATGATAACTTGGCACAACATGGGAAAAAAAAAAACTCCACAAAATATTTGCGCTCTGCAACATCCCGCCACTGTTTTTGTGTTGTGATGTGTGCTGACACTGACCTGACTCTCTGTTTGCCTCAGTAATGCTCCAGGTGCTCTACAAGCTGAAAACGGCCAAGGTGTTTGACAGGAGCCGCTCCAAAGAGGACAAGGGCAGCGCCGAGGCGTCCGACGAGGACCCTTTCGCCATCCAGCTGATGGCCTGGTGCGCCGAGAGTCGCATGCTGTGTGTGGCCGGCGTGTCGGCCAACATCATCGTCTACCGTTTCAGTAAACTGGAGGTCACCACGGAGGTGGTTCAGGTAAGGGGAGCTGGGGTGGGTCCTTCTTGTTATTTCAAAACTATCTGCAGGGAATTCATCACATCACACACAGGCTGTGTGCAGAATGATTCACTCAATCCTAATCGTAGGCATTTTTATGGAGTGGAATATTTAGTACACTTATTGGTCAAATGAAAAATAATGTTAAGTAAACAGTACAAAATGGCTAATTCACTCTATAGGCTATATAGTGGCTAGGTAGTGATTCCCAACTCAGCCAGACACACACACACACACACACACACACGCACACACGTTGAAAGCTACCCCTTGTGGATGACAGTATGGTTGCCATGCCAACAGACGGAGCAGTGAGGAGGCAAAGCGAGATAATCATTATGATCTGCCTTGATTGCGATGTATGGGGGCGTGCTGACTCACTGTTGAGCAACTTAAAGCCAAGTGCTGTTTAATCTTGTGCGGCCTCGTGCTGGTTTTCACCGCGCCTGGCTAGTCGTCAACACGCTGTATATTTGTGCCACGTTTTTCAATCGAGAAGATGCTCACTTGTCAATCAGAAGGATGTGGGAGCGGATAGCAACGTGCTAACTTCCTGGCAGGTGATTTGGATGATTTGGATTTCGCTCGCACCTCTTTTTTTTTTTTTTTTGCTTTCTCACTTTTTGTGTTGGTAATTCGCAAGCAAACATGAAAGTTCATTTGTCGATTACTTTGCAGGTGCTTTTGCATCTCCGGACGCACATCCGCTCACCTATTCACACTCCCGCAAGAAACATGCAAAAAACCCCACCCACACACAACAGAAGGAGAAGCACAATGTCTATTGAAAAAACACAACAGAAGGAGTAGCACAATGTCTATTGAAGTGAAGTAAAAAATGTGGCAAAAGCTTTCTTTACATTCTCATAAATTAAGTCACCACTGTATGTTTCTTGAAAGAAGAGTATCCTAAATGAGATGAAATCAATTTTGTTGGGCAGCATACGGTCTATGGCCCGCTGAGCAATATACACCTTTATTACTTTTTAGCTGCTCGAGGTGCGAATGCAGTATGAACTGAACGACATTGAATCCCCTGAGGGCGGAGGTGGGGAGCACACGTCGGCGCACCCCAACCCGGGTGCTTCTCCGAGCGGGCCGCCTTCACATCCCAACACCAGCAGCAACAACTCTGATGGAAGCAACACACCTTGCCTCAAGTAAGTCATCGGGACCCCTTGGCGTCACTCCCACGTCCCTTGCCATTTATTATTTTGACTTTTTTTTTTTCCCAGGGTGCGTAGTACTCCACTAAAGCAGTCTGCTGGTTACCAGGTGGACTTGGTGGTCCAGTTGGTGTGGGTGAGCGGGGAACCACCTCAACAGATTACAAGCCTGGCACTCAATTCTTCCTACGGCCTGTAAGTCAACACATCGTGGTCAACATCAACACTCGTGTGGTGGAGATTTACCCGAGCCGTGATCAGATAATACCTCGGTGAAGCAGTAAATACAGTCGATAGCTAGCTACCTAGGTAGCTACCTATTTATTTAGCTAGCTGGAGCTCCCCTTGTTACCGTTCTTTCTCTGTGTATGTGCATTTACTTAAGGTCCACAATGAGGCGCTCTAAAGCAGCCAATTAAGCCCCGGTTGACACCACTGGCTATTATGTCATCCTTTTAAAAAAAATAGTTTATCTTCCGTCATATCTGCGTTATGTGCATGCACTCACAGCCGACAATGAGGCACTCAAGTTTTTAGATGGTGCGTTTATGGTGGTGTTTTAGTAACACCCAAAAAAGTAGGAAAACTGGAATTGTGAAAATTGATTATTGCTGTATCTCCACAACAGATTAGGAGCCGTTATTTTTAAACAAAAATCAACGTATTCAGAAACAAATATCTGAATTTACTTTGCATGATGTTTAAAAAGTCCTCATTGATATTTCCTGTTTTGTATTCTAATGAGGCATGGGGTGGCCTTGGGGATAAAATACACCGTGCCATTGGTGTGAACGAGGGATGGGGGAACCTGTACCGCTTAACATTTTCTTTGTCCATTTGTATGTGAACCTTCCTTATGCAGAGTGGTGTTTGGCAACATTAACGGTGTCGCAGTCGTGGACTATGTCCAGAAGACAGTGGTGTTGAACCTTGGGATGCTGGAGCTGTACGGCTCCAATGATCCATACCAGAGACAACCGCGCTCGCCCAGAAGGTCTCGACAGCCCTCTGGAGGTAACTTGTTTTTCATCCTTTTGTTTTGAATAAAGCAACCACATGAACTTGCTTTCAAGTCCTTTAGCTTAATGCTAACACATAATGGGAAACTCAACATGAGGGCTAATAAATCGCATGTGTGTACCAGGAATGGATATTTCAAAACAAACGATTGAGAAACACTAATAAACATAGCAATAATCACAGACATATATTCTTTATCCTCTGTGAAGAATGACTAATATTACTGCCTTGCTGAGGAGCTGACGCGCTCTTCGTGTACATTACAGCAGTCGTAAGTCAGTTTTATATTGCCCACAGGTAACCCAAGCGCAGACAACAGAAGGAGCATACATTCTATTTATATCACTACTCTATAGTCCGGAGATTGATGACGTCATATGGCACCAATACACACCAAAATAGCTAGTTTGCTGCAAATAGAAGTCTGAAGTTTTAGCAATGGGCACACTGCCACCTTGTGTTGGATCGTCAGAGTACACTTTAAGTTTGATGGATGAAGTGCTAACGTGTGCGAGTGTATACCCTTGCGGAAAACCCACGGCCACGCGCACACACACGCGTGTACAGAGCATCTGGTGTCAAGCAGTGGGCTGGCACCTGTCGCAGCTTGGCGTTCGCAAGCAGTAATCAGACGTCCAGCTGCGCTTCCCCGTGCCAACACGCTGCCGCCTGCTTGGCCTTCTGCCTCACTGGATCAGCAACACACACATAAGGATAAAGACTTTCTCGAGTACAAACAAGAACTGAATGATTTTGACAAATAATTTTGCCTTTTTTTGTTTGACCTCTTCCCTCATTATTGCGAACTCACGGAAGTGCAACGGAACTATATTGAAATGAAATAGAGGATATTTATTTAGGCCAAGGTAATGCTTCGTCACCATCTTTTGGCATCCATAGATAACCACAAGTATACTTTTTTTGTATCATGATTACTTCATCGTGGCACTTTCTGGTGTTGGCCACTGGGGGCAGTAGACAACCCTCAATGCAAACGCAAACAAAGACTTTCACAGCTACTGTGACTCAGTAAGCTGCAGTGATATTTGTTGTTTTTTGTTAAGGATGAAGAATATATGCTTGAAGCGTGATTGCTGAGTGGTGTGTTCTCTGTTTCAGGGCTGTGCGACATCAATGAGGGTTCGGCCACTTCGGAGGATCGCTGCAAGTCTCCCACTTCAGGTAACATGTCCTTTAATTTTCCAAATGCTCATGTTGGTGAAAATTGTCTGAAGATGGAGGTTCATGTTAGAAATATGCATTTTTTTTTTTTTTTTAAACTGTGGCTCACAAAACTGGAACTTAATATTTACACCGCCCCCGACCATAAAATTGCCATTCTATCCCACAAATTTAACACTCGGCTTTAATATTGCCCCGTTCAGGCTTTTTGTGACCGATTCCATTTTCGCGTGCATTTTATGTTTTCCTCCTTGAATATGCAGAGCTCAATAGACAGGAATAAATGGCTTTCATGGCTTTTGCCAAACCGTGCGATAGACTGGAACCGCGGAGATCCGGTCGAGCTCATGCAAAGCGATGAAATAATTATGGCGACAACGCCTTTTGCTGGAGAGACCGATTAAACTATTCAGAGCATTTAAGTCACACATGCACGGCGATAAACTGGGAAAAAACATCAATGCTTTATAATATTTTTTGCAAATATTTTGCCCAGATGCAAAAAAACGACATTAGATTTTAAAAAGGTTAAAAGAAGGTCAGAGAAGAAACATGGTCCAGCATTATAAAGGTCACTGTGCGGTCATCATCAAACCAAAACCTTTAATATAAAAATTAATGGAATGTGTTGTAATCCTAACTTTTCAGGCTGAGTGGTGAATGCCGCTCGTGCCTGGGAGGTGAGTTGCTTTCTGTCGACTTCTGATGATTTCGCCATATTGTTCTCAGCAGCCAGGACAGACTAAGTGGTCAACTAAAAAGGATCTGAATTGCAAAAACAAATACGAATATAAAAATTTCACCCGAAAGCCAAAAACCCTGAACCATTGTGTGAGTGGTGTAGCTTCACAAAACCCCATCGAAAAGGTCAAACTTATGTCTAACTTTCAACTTCTCCCTCCTTGAACCTCCCCAAAGTGTTGATGCCAAACAGCAATCTCCAGCAGTTCTACAATGGAGGTGGGAGAGGAGGTAAGCTTGGCCAAAGACTTTCTGAAGAGGGTATAACAAAATTCCGCATTTGTCTCCCCCCTTTGCCCGCTCGCCCAGCAACCCTCCTCTTGTCTCTGTCCTCCATGTCACCAGAGTGGAAATGGATTAGCTTGAACTAACGCTAGCTAAAGTTTGGGATCGCCTCGGTTCCCATGGTGTTTGTTGTCTCCCGCTCGGTGGCGGCTCCACGTTAGCATTGCATGCTACTTGTATGTAGCACGAGCGTCGAGCGTCTGTGACGTGTGTACCCCCTTGCGTCCTCCACACACTTATTTGTATTATTTTATATTTATCTTTATCTTTTATTTCGTTTTTATAAGGAATATTACGCATATTTTTTGTTCAACAAATGTATGACTATTAGCAGGATTTATGCACTTCCATGACTATTATCATCAGTATTGTTATTATAAATTCATTGTATATATGTATATGCTTGTAGTGGTCAAAGCACTACATCCTTTTTGTTTTTTAACCATTTCTTTAGTTGAGTGGAGCAGTGATTTTAATTTTTAAAAAATGCAAGCCCTGTGCTGTAATGAGTAGCCGATACGTTTTATTTAGTCTTTTTTTTTTTTCTTCATTGTTTTGCAATTTTGAAATTGGACCATTTCAAGCTGAATTTCACTTCCACTCACAAACACAGCAATGTATTGAGTATTATATTTAGGTGACAGCTCATTTGCACTAGCCTCGCACTTCCCTAATGTGAAGGAAATCGGCGTCGATGTTAGGCTATAAACTTCAAACCATCTGCTGCTTTAACACATGGTGTGGCAACACACACAAAACTGAGAACAATACTCACAGGTGGGTATTCTCTCTCCTCTGTGGGAGCACTGACTATTACTGGAGCTCAGATGAATGGGACAAGCCAAACGTTGCAAGAGTGACTGTAGGGGACCTTCTCTGCCTTTTCTCCTTGCTCTTAATTACGCCGCATTCCTCAGCGCTGCCTGGCATGTTGCCTTAAAAAAAAAAACAAAAAAAAACAATCTCTTAAAAATCTGCTATCGAGCTGGGGCATCTTTGCATCTGTAATACAGATTACTTGATTTGCTCTGGGCAACAAGATGGAAGCATGAGTGAGACAGCAATGGGGAATAATTGAATGATGCTGCACGTACACAAAAACAGTGTAGCTCTTGTGCACTGTGTGTTTCCATGTGTTGTCAGGGCACCCTCCCCCGGTGCATGCTGCTGCGGCATGACCACCTTGACTTGCCGATGGCTCTCGCGACTTCTTCATCCGTTGGGGCAGCGGTGTCAGCCCTCTTTTCTTTTTGTTCCCCCGTCTTCTCACGGCATGCCCGCGCTCACGGAGGGTCGCGCTCCGGGCGCTTCTGCATGGCATCGTGCGTGAGCTTGGATGTGTGTTTTTGTAAAGAGGGATGTTCTCTTTTTTCCAGCAAAGATGTCACGGAAATTAAGCTTGCCTACTGAGCTAAAGCCAGACTTGGGTAAGCCTTGACTCCGTGTATCCAAAGCAACTTGTATGACATGCAATGTAGTCTGGCCTCCAAATTGAGGCGGCTGAAATATGATGATATGTACAGTATGTGGGCACTCCCACTTATTTGATCGTGGTGGGGGTGGTCCGCTACTGCGGAAATCAGTGGCGCCAAGCTTAACTCTGCACCCTCTATAACGCTCTTCTTCTGCTTTCTATGCTGCCTTTCTACATGTGCTGTGTTTTAATAGCATCTCTGAAGAATCGGATTTATTGATCCTTATTTTTTGGACGGTGCCCTTTTATGACTGTATTTCCCGCCAGATGTGAGTTAAGACTGAGAAATGCTGATATAATATCGACTAGACCATCGGTCGGCTTTAAGTTCTTGCGAGAAGGAACACATGCGGCAAAATTACTTTGCTGAGCTTCGCTTTTATACCTGCGGTGAAAGTCAAACAAGTGCTGTGCTCTATCTGACCCCCCCGTTGTTTTCCCTCTTCTCACAACAAGATGGTCTTGTCTGACCTTATCCGATGATTTCATGAAATCTCCCCCCCAAAAATTCTCATTCCATGGGCCACCGATGAGCCGATTTGCCACCGAGCAGGTGAACGAACCCGTTGGTCTCGAAATCATCAACTGTTGTGGGACCACCCCCAGGGAATGCACCGAGCAGAGCCTTACATAGGGGGGGACTCGGCACCTCAAATTTCGAAGTGAAGAACCTTTATCAGCAGCGACAAAGTGTCCAGTTGCCACCATTGAACTTGCGGAAGAAGTAGAAACCTGCCACAATAGCAAAGGTTCACTCATGCACCAAAAAAAAAAAAAAAAAAAAAAAAATTTTTTTAAATCAAATGACTGTACTCCAAACTTTTAGCGTCTGCATTTGTCAGCTGTTCTGTCCATGTGTGCAGTGCAGGTTCTTTACTTCCCTCTGTTGTTTCCTCTCACTGTCCTCTTGTCTGTATGCCCGCCGCGGGGTGCCAACCCACTAGACCACCGGGACAATTCCTTCAGCCGCTCGCGCTCCTCCAGCGTCACCAGCATCGACAAGGAGGCCAAAGAAGCCGTCCTCTCGTTCCACTTCTGCGACAGCTACGCCCGCAAGGGGGACGGCGCCTCGGCGCCGTGCCTGTTTGTGGGCACCTCGCAGGGCACCGTGCTGGTTCTGGCCCTCACGCTGCCACCTCCTGGAGAACAGAGGCAACTGCAGCCTGTTATCCTTTCACCCACAGGTGATTGATTGCCTTTTGAGCGGGATTTACTGAATGCTGCCGTTTGCTCTTGTTAGCCCGAACAACTTGTAATTGTCGTCCCTCCCCGATATCGGTCAGGCATGTTGATTCGATTGAAGGGAAGCATCTTGCGGTTGGCTTTCCTGGACTCCGCCGGTTCCGTCTTGCCCCCCTCGTACGACCCTTGGTTCGAACCCAACATCTCGGCGGACGGCGAAGAACGGGAGAAGGTCCGCAAGCGTCGGCCCGTGTCGGTTTCGCCGTCCAGCTCGCAGGATCTTAACGAGAGCCACTACGCCGTGATGTGCTCAGAGAAGCAGGCCAAGGTCCTTTCGCTGCCCAGCCAGACGTGCATCTACAAGCACAGTATCACGGAAGCCTCCTTCGTTTTACGCGCCGACGTGGTCCAGATGAGCCTAGGCGTGTGTCTGGCCTGCTTCTGCGCAAACGGTCACATCATGGCTCTTAGGTGAGACGCATTTGAGGTAGCGGACGACGGGCAACGGAACTTAGAACGTTCTCTCTTTCTGCTCCTTTATCCAGTCTACCGGGACTGAGACCCCTCATGGATGTAAACTACCTGCCTCTAACGGACATGAGGATAGCCAGGACCTTCTGCTTCACAAACTTGGGTCAGGCCATGTACCTTTGTTCCCCCACTGAAGTCCAGAGGATCACGTACAGCCAGGACACCTGTGAGAACCTCCAGGTCAGTGAGCAAAACATGTGCAACACACAGGCCTTTTGTTTCGAAAAGATGCTAGCTTCATGACATTTCGCTCATGAAAATGATTGCATTCCACCGAGGCCCTGGGGTCACTTGGCGGTGAGTCAGGAAGGACAAGTCAAGAAAGCTTTTCGACATACTCAAAGTTTAAATCGCTTTATTAGCAATGGACATTCTTTTTTTGTAGACTGAAGTCACCTGAACCTGAGCATAGCCTTTCGGCTATTCAAAAGTGTTTGTAATTCCCAAATAAACTACATGCAGAACCCACTACATGCAGTTATATGAACAGTTTGTGCTCGTAATTGTTTCAGGAAATGCTTGGCGAATTGTTTACACCAGTGGAGACACCGGAGGCCCCCAACAGGGGCTTCTTCAAGGGGCTCTTTGGGGGTGGAGCACAGTCACTGGACAGAGAAGAGCTATGTACGTCACACAGGCGCTAACGTGTTTTTGATTGTGAGTCGTATGCTAACGCCAATTCTAACTTAGTCGGCGAAGAAGTTGCCGGACGAGCATCCCGCAGCCTGGCCCAGCACATCCCGGGCCCGGGCGGCATCGAGGGCATGAAGGGGGCAGCATCCGGCGTGGTGGGTGACCTGGCCCGCGCCCGGATAGCGCTGGACGAGCGAGGGCAGAAGCTAGGCGAGCTGGAGGAGAGGACGGCCGCCATGATGGCCAGTGCCGACTCCTTTTCCAAGCATGCCCATGAGGTAACAAATATTGCGTCTAGCTTGAATGTTAATTACCGACATGGACCCACCACCTTTTTTTTTTTTTTTCTTCTTGTCCAGATGATGCTGAAGTGCAAAGACAAAAAATGGTACCAGTTCTGATGGGCGTTCGCAATGGTTGCCTTGGTCATGATGGCGACCTGCTGCTGTTTTCCGTTCAGCCATCCTCCCCAAGCCTTTCTTCGTTCACTCGGACACCTGGGATTTTCTTCCCTTAGCACAATGTCCCATACTCTTCTTACCTCACTCTGTTGTTGAGGGGGGAGACACAGGAAGCAAGTACATTATTTCTGTGTATGTGTGCGTGTGCGTGCGCGAGTGCGAGTGTTTCCCATGTTCTTGTCCTTTTATTTATGATTCACACACGGAGTTTTCATTCTCATTTTGCCAAACCGTCCTTAGACTGATGTCAGTATTTAAACTGGACTATTAGCTCACACTTGAGAATATTGTTCAAATGTACAAAAAATATATATATATATCAAAATATGTCATGATATATACATACAAATCTAAATGTTGCAACGCTGTACTTCACTTCAGGGCGATCGCTATGGAAACAAACAGGAGAGGGACACAGGAAGTGACATCGCAGTGACGCTTCTTCTATGCAGAGAGATTTGTATTTTTTTTTTTTTTTGTCTTCGCACCTGGCTCCACTTTCAGACTCTTACATCCTTCCCAGCAACACGTATGAATTCATCCCTTTCAACTTTCTCATCACCCCCCCCCCTTGTATTTATGAGAGGTGGTTTGGTTTCATGGCTCTGTCAATATCACTGGGAAAGCTCTTATTTTTCTATGGTTGTGAAAAAGTAAGTGATATTTTTGTTAAGGCTTCCGTCTCACTTTTGGGTTCTCCTTATGAAAAGGGCTGGGAACTTCTAGGAAGGCGAGGATAAACAAGGCATAATGTCATAGACTATATCGAAACTCATCTGTTCAGCATCCCCGATTGATTGGCCTCTTTCATCTCAAGTGTACAAATGCTGCTAGGATCACTGATAACAAACACACACACACACACACACACATACAGACACCCACGCTGCAGTGTCTTTTTTTTTAATTATATGTACTCCTGTGAAAAGAATGAATACAGTCAACAACCTTTGTTTTTGTAGATTCCCGTCATTGTTTGGTGTCCGGAAAAACTGATATATCCCTCCCACTGCTCCCCCACACGCGCATCATTTGAAGGCAGATCTCACTATCAGGGCGGTTGAGTGACATGTGTGACAATCTGGAAAGTAGTACAACCATTGCGTTACATAAATACAAAGATTGCGCGAGGTCATATATTGTTTCTGATGCCAAAGACTCGCGCTAAGATGAAATTCGAATTAATCTGAACAAATGTTTTCATTTTTTTCACAAAGAAGCAATGCTGACTTTCATGTTGTCCGTCAGTAATTATATTTTCTGAACTTATAGTTTAGTTGAACTTCGGACAAAATATTATGAGAGAAAAGTTGAAATGTTATGAGAATATGTTTGTCATGTTGAGGATGGTCAGAATGTTTTGAGAAAAAAGTTGAATTATGAAGTTGGAGCCTCATGAGGAAAAAGAAATTGAGGGGTGATGTATAGTACAATAACTATTTTTGAAGGAAAAATGTAAAAATATTGCAACAGTTAATGAACCTGAAGCCGTAAAATTGTGTGACGGTAGATGTTGGAATAACACAAGTATCACGGTTTTGAAAAATGTTCATGAATACAGCCGAAATATGATGAGAACAAAAGTTGTACAGTTGAGAAGGAAGCTTAAATATAAACAAAGACGTGCATTGAGAAAGTCATAAAAATTGTAACATTGGAATAAAGTCATAATAGCGAAAAAGTTGTAGCATTAAAAATAGATATATTTTTTCCCACCAATACTTTGTAATTTTGTAATGCTCGCTTTAACTCACCAACTATGATAAGTTGACATCAAAATATGAGTCAATAGTTCTTTTTCCTTTCTTTAGTCGTTATGATGCAGAAATGATTTCAGACTAGTTCTTAGTTGCATTTTTTTTTTTAACAGATGAGTTTTGAAAGCGTAGGGCAATATTTGTCGTTATTCTCATCAAACTGCTGCGTCTCGCTTTTGAAAATGGCAGACCGTAACTTGAATTTGTGAAGCTGTACGCGCTGATACATTATGATTGATGACATCGCAAAAATTCGGGACCACTACAACTCAACGTAATGCCCTTTTTGTCCGCCTGTACTTCCCGAGTGTGTTCTAACTTTAGTGACTACGTACGGTTACTCAATGTCGAAGTCTTCGTCTGCAGTTTTGTGTCCTATCGGGTGTGTTTCATTCCAACTCAAGCCAATGACAATGACACGTACAGGGAACCCCGCAATTCATATGAGGGACGGGCACCGAAATCTTACATAAAATATGAAAATAGGCACAAAAGTAGTATTGAACATCCCGAGCGAGCGCACTACTTAATGCCACCAGTCAAACAGGACATTTAAAAAAAAAGCAGACCAAAAAAAAAAAAAAACACTCGCAATTAAAGTTAACACCACTAGGTGGTGCCAAAGTAATAGTAAATAAACCTGCAAATGGCAACTCGTGAATGTGTGGGGGTTAACTGTACTGTCGTTGACTGTCTGTCACGCTTCCCGTTTCTTTCAGTAAGCGCTATTTCCCGTCGTCAAATACATACACGAAAGAGAGAGAAAGAAGATATTCCTCCTCCACCACCACCGTCCCTCACGTCACGTCCTGCAGTCAACAGTTTGTGAGTGGGTTGCAGTATTTTTCTCATGGTAGCCGACTTTTTTTCTTGTACAGTTTTATGCAACTTTCACGTGGATGTTTATGGACTTTGCGGAACGGCTGCCACACACGAGAATTTGGGACATTCTGTAGATAGAGGTTAACTGTGCAATGGGGGGTTGGAAGGGGGGCGATAAAAAAGGAAAATGTACACAGGCTTGTTGGAGTTTACTTTCAACGCCAGGTGGCGGCAAACACAAAAGAATTGCCTTGAAAAAGCCGTCTGGATGGTTTGCTGACATTTGTCTGCGTGGAAAACGTATTCAAACTTTTTACTTTAAACAAGCAGTAACGAAAAAAAAAAACCTAAGATGTGACCAATCTACAAAATAAATATCCTATGTGAAAAGGAAGAGGAAGAAGTCATTTTGTAAATTTGATTTCAATCCTGCCCATTCACCACCATTACCGTAATTTCAGTTTTTTTGTTTACTTCAAGACAAAAAGTCAGGTCCAGATTCTGAAATGCGCTTAAGTAGAAAATTTAAATAGTCTGATGACTCCCATGTCAAACATTAAGCCTCACCTCAACTTTTAAAGCTGCACACACTCAAAGTCACAGATACGACAGTGCGTAACGTGAGGTTGGCGAACCCAAAGTGGACGTGTTCACATTTTATTGAAAGCCATGTTTATCAATATAAATGAGTTTTAAACGCCTGAACTTGTACGTCCGGGCGAATTAAAACAACCACAAAATACAAACAGTATGGTGCACGGAGGAAAGGTTAAGGCTATGCCGAGCTCCTTCCACCGCTGGCACATGACACGCCAGCAATTCTGTTGCCATGGCGATGGCAACTGCGACTGACCAGAGTCGTGGACGCGTGGCAGGGGATCCCGCCGCCTTTGCTCTGGGGGGAGCTACTGAATGATGGGTGTGAAAGGAATATGTTCTCAGCTGATAAAGTCACTCATAAGGACCATATTCTACATTATATGAATCAAATGAAATATTGATAAATTAACAGTGGTTGATCTTAATTTTACATATATAATGCCATATCTCTCAAATGTATTCATTTTTTTGCAAACGTTTTTTTATAAAAAGATTTTTGTTAGTTTTTTTCTCCCCAATGCTATTGGCTGTCAATTATGAGTATATTTTTTACTATTCTGGTCACTGATTTCTTTTCCCTTTCTTTTTTCGTTCTCAGCTAGGAGTCAGCTGGGATAGCCTCCAGCTCACCCCTGAGAACTAATGAAGACAAGCGCTATAGAACCAAAAATGTATACCGTTGATGGATGGTGTAGCTGATTATAATTCATCCTCACATTTTTTTCGGCTTTCTTGCCCACGGCTATGTTTGCACAGCATCTTTTTTGAGAAACGTGATAGGCCTAGCCGAGACCACATGAAGCTCCGTTTGTGGGGGAGCCCCTTAGATTAACTTTTAACACATTGATGAAAAAGCACAGCGGCATTTTTGACTTTATATAGAGCTGAAGGGCGTGGGATGCGGCCGAGGAGGCTGAAAACTGGCATATGCGCGCGGTTGACCTCGGTGACTTGCCGGCGTGTCCGATACTTAAGAAGCCGTCTGTGTCCTGACATATGCAGTCGCTCATGCACACGGCGGCCACCCTTTGCCTGTAAGTAAATTTAGTTGTGGGTGAAACGGCCACCAAATTGCAAGCGGGTGCTTGCAATCTGTTACTCTGCGTGGGGGAAGTGATTGCTGCAACTAGTGAGGGTGCTGCTGGGTCACTCTCGACTGCTTTGCTGTCTGAAAACATGTCATGGAAACCAGCACTGGGCCTCACAGCTAGTGGTGGTCTCCAAGAGCCCACTTAAATTCACAGATGTGTTTCCGCCATTTCTAGACTCTTAAGCGGAATGAAAGGAACCGCTTTGATTGGTCGTGACTGAAGTCGGCTGTGACCACACCCACAGCGGCGCAGTCTCACTCTCTATTAGAGTCACAAGACTGTGCTCCTCTGAAATTTCTAGCATCGGTTCCAACCTGACTCTGTACAGAGTCACACTATGTGCTGGTCACACCAAAAAAAAAAACGGTGATAACCATAGTTTGGTAAATAATAACTGGAGGAACAGGTTACTCTGTCCGAATATTAATCAGTTTGATTAATTTCTTTTGGCGAAGCAAAGGTGCTTCTGCGCAAGGCCTTCAGGGATCCTCAAGGTCCCTTTTTCAGAATTTTTTTTTTTTTGCAGCTGCTGGCGTTTCCACGGCAACTGTGTGATTTAAAAAGGATATTTGAACGTCAAGAGAGGGGGGGAAAAAAAGAAAAAAAGCCGCAGGGCTACGTTCTAGCCTGTGAGTTTACTTTAAATGTGGGTCAGTCGTAAGCTTCTATTAAGTCTTTCCCCTGGTGAGCCGGATTCATTTGCATTTTTGCTCGACTCGCGTCTCTCGCGCGTCCATTAGGAGCGCGTCGCACGTTCACGAGACTGTAGATGTGAATTGCAAGTATGAAGAATATGCGCTGGTATTAAATTGAGAGTAAGTGTAGTTTGCTTTCAGTGGTGCTTGACTAAATGAGGCACTTAAATGTGTGACGCCGACAGCCCATTTCTACAATAAATGGATGAAAAGTAGAGGATCAGTCCAGTGGGGCACAACTAAAATATTTTTCCCCAACCTTAACTATTGTAAATTTCAAACGGCCGCACAAATTTGCCTCCAAGTCCACGCTAACGCATGATGGGAAATGCCATTGGCAGACTACCGACGAGCATCAGTGTCACGGTGTTATCTAACTCTTTAGCTCAGAGATATTTGAAAGTTATTTAGCAATATTCATAGGCATATATATATATATATATTCTTTATTCTCCGAAAAGAGCAATTGTGACTGCAGTTATTACTTACGGAGGAACTGAGACTGTCTCCATCTACAATATAGCTTTTTGTGTCTAACATACTGCCCCCATGTGGCCAAGCCATGCACACCAGAAGAAGCACCACAATGTCCGGTCAAATTAAAGCAAAAAAAAAAAAAAGTCAAAAACGCTTTGTCCTAACATTGTATTTAAGTGTGCCAGTAATGTATGTTTTTTACAGACTGCTATTTTTCTCATTAAAAAAAATAAATAAAGTTTAGGTTTCAGCACCAGCTGGAGTATTGGGTGTGACCCTTTTAGAGGTGCACCTGTGTCTTGTTAAGCAACCAAGCTGGCGCTTGTTTCAGGACTCGTTTTGTGGATTTTCGGTGACAATTTTCCTTGCTAGTTGCAAGCGCCTGCTGTTCTTCTTTGATTTTTTTTTTTTTTTTTGTCGCCAGCAATTTATGTGACTACTTTGTCAGTCCCTCACTTTTCAAGACATAGTTTTTTTTCTTGTCATTTATCCGAGTCTGCATTTTTGCGATCGACACTCCACCCGGTCTGTGTTTGGACCCTGTCAGTATTTAAAACATTTTTTAGATTTAGTATTTTATATTTTAGTCCTGTAAAATATATGGTCTTAGGTGGTAGATTCAATGTCTGTTTTGTTTGACCTCATGACTGTAACATGACCGCAGCTTCTATGTTACAGATTTTCATTAACGATCGACAAATGCCCAGTCGACTACGTTGAAGTTTTCTAGAACCGTGATTCCCAATCAACGTGCCGTAAAAGATCATCGCGTGTGTCTAAATGGGCCCACATTTCATACAGAGTAAGTACAATGAAACGAGATCGTGATTTTTGTTTGTTTTCCCAGTGCACTTGTGATGTCATTTTTCTTTGGTGTGATTTGAGCTTTATTTGAAAGTAAAATGTTTGCTTTGGCTTCATGAAAGCTGACAAAGACTGCTCTCAGATTTTCATTAACGATCGACAAATGCCCAGTCGACGATGTTGGAGTTTTCTAGAACCGTGATTCCCAATCACCGTGCCGTAAAAGATCATCGCGTGTGTCTAAATGGGCCCACATTTCATACAGAGTAAGTACATTGAAACGAGATCGTGATTTTTGTTTTTTTTCCCCCAGTGCACTTTTGATGTCATTTTTCTTTGGTGTGATTTGAGCTTTATTTGAAAGTAAAACGTTTGCTTTGGCTTCATGAAAGCTGACAGACTGCTCTAGAAGCAATACGGTCAGGTGGGTGAGTTAAGTCCCTCTGCCGAGCGCAGCCTTTGTAGCCCGTGGACGTTTCTCCATGTAGCCTGTTTACCCACAGATAACACCAACCCCCAAAGCCCCCGACACGTCTGGTAATGAATACGTGTCTGTTGCTCTAAACGGGCTCTCCAGAGGCACAGTTGTGATGAACGAGCGCTTTGCGTCTGCGTTTTTAGAGCCTCGCGCCGCAGCTAAAATTCCTCCCCGGTGATTATTGAGCAGGGAAGAACGAGGATGATGACCTCAGCAACTAACCCAGACAAAATAAAACAGGGGCAGACCACACGGAGCTGGATGCGACGCAGCTATTCACGGATTGAGGGATTTCATTTCAGGCACCAAAGAGTCGCGCTAATCTTATTTTTACAGGAGTTTGTGCATCTGGCTTTCACTTTCCGAATGCCAGGCAGTAAACAAAAGAAATAGCTAATTAACTTGACTGAAGACCCACGTGTTAGTCTGCATATTAATGCGCTTCAAGGTTAACTCAACGCAAAACGGATATAAAAACAAAAATCAGCCGGAGTCTGCATTGAGGTTGAAAAAAAAAAGCTTCATACCTGCCAAACCAACTCGGAAGGAAACAAAAGCTTTTATTTCTGTTTTTAGGCTGTGTTCACATTTGTTCTGTCCTCGACACTGAAGAGGACAGAAAAAAAATCCTTGTGAGGATAAAGCGGACTAGAAAATGGATGGATGGATATTTATAATGAAGTAAAAAAATTGCGAAATGACAAATTTGACGTTTGTCTGATGCAGAAGCTTCTCTTAATGCAATTGATAGGGCCAAGGTGGGGCGCGACATTCCCGTGCCCCAAGATGGATGACATAAGGTCTCATCCACTCCTATGACATGAGAAACATAAAAAAAAAAATAAAAAAAAAGCATCATAGTCATCAGAGATGATGATCATTAAATTGTTTGCCACAAATTTTCTCTGACCAACCAATGAGCCAATCGGGGGGGCAATTTTGAAATCTCATTACTGAAGAAGCAGCCTCGTTGCTAATCCAAGTTGAAGTCACACAGCGCAGCGAAGCCCGTTGGACCCGTTTTTGCGCACACCTGCGGATGCTAATGTTCAGCTGGTTCACACTTGACCAAACGAACCACGCGCATCCGAGCAACCAAATCAAACCTGACAAGTGTGAACATGGCCCTGACATGTTAAAGGCAAAGCAAATTCAGCCATGTTTCAAAATGACTGAATCGGGCACTGCCTCGACAGTATGTCATCGTACCGTATTACTAAAAAGCATTTTTCTCACTGTGCTCTCATGATACACGGAGCCCGGAAAGCACATAATGGACCCGTGAGTGGTTTAACCCAGGCTGTTTTGGGTCGCAAGCACAGTCCTCCTCCACCCATCCAACTGTGGTTTTAGCACATCCTCTCTGCTCATAATGATGCTTTTTTCATCAGTGCTCCACTTAAAAGTGTGGTGACACCTCCGGTAATATGTATTAATATCGAAGAAAGCCTAGAATTATTATGTTTCATTCCCCCCCATCCACCCACCCCCAAAAACCTCTTTTCGCAATTATAGTAGCTCTTCGAAGCTGTACTATAGACCAGGGGTCCCCAACCTTTTTTGCCCCACGGACCGGTTTATGTCAGACAATATTTTCAGGGACCGGCATTTAAGGTGTGGCGGAAATAATACAACAAAATAATATGGTATGAGCTGCATGAAAACTGTGGTGTTTTCGAAATATAATAATAATAAACACAAGGAGCGTCTAATCTGGCCGCAACACTCTGATCGCTATGGTAATGTTTAATGCCTTCAAAATACGATACAATGCAAATTCAAAGTGCATGAAAATGATGACTCACCACAGCCCCGAGCTTGATTTTCTGCAACCAGACGGTCCCATCTCGG